GTGGGTGTTCCTCAACCAGTAGCCGTTCCCGTGGGCGCTGTGGTAACTAGTGCTGGAGGTGCTGGCATCGGCGCAGGACTTGGTGGAGGTTCTATTGTTTCATCTAGTATCGGAGGAGGAGCTATAATTGGATCGGGCTATGGAGGGGCTGTTCTTGGTTCTGGATACGGCGGAGGGGCCATTATTGGTTCTGGATACGGTGGAGGGGCTATAATTGGATCTGGATACGGAGGAGGCGCAGTTATTTCTTCTGGATACGGAGGAGGCATAATATCTAGTCACGGAGGTCACGGCTATGTTGAATCCCACGGACACATTGTAGACCATCATTAAAGACTTTGATTAGAGTTTTAATTCTATATAGATTAAATAATACCAAATGCTCAATTGCCAGTTTGGGTGAGCGACCCAACAGTTGTAACCAGTAGGGATAGTTAACGGTGTTTATGGGCAGTTTTAATATAAATAAAATAAACGTCTTAAGTCAATCTATTGCATTATTATTTCACGTTTCTTTTCATAACACATAAATTGTAATGTATTGTTTATCACTAATTCTTGAAAATGTTCTTTACGTATTATTTAGACTATCTTACAAGAATCTTTTTCGGAGTTTATTTAGAATCCGGTATTTGTAGGTCAAATTCCGACTAAATAGAAAATGTTTATAACAAAATTCGAATTGCAGTTTACAAGATTACTTTTTTTTCAAATAAAGGGAATAGCATATCTATTAGATTTAAATTCTATTTCCTCGTCTAACTACGTCTTAATCAAATATTGGCAAAATTATTGTTATCAGTCGCCTTTCTAATTTGGATATTGGTTTCTTGATAGCATTATCTGCTGCGTGATTAGTTGCCAGCCGATAGCGAGCTATCTGTGTTCGAGGAGTCGTGGTGACAGCTGATTTGCGAAGTGGAAAAATATTATTTATTTTTTTTAAATTAGTCTATAGTTAAAGGCCAAAGAAAAATGGGTGCCAGTGAGTTTATTTTGTTTGATTGTTGTGTTGTGTTTTTTTTAATTAGTAATGTACTGACGAAGATAATGATGACTCATTGTTTATTTGTTTAGTTGTTAAATAGTGTTAGGGCCTGTCCTACAATGTTAATTGTCATATAACAATCCAACGTATAAAATATGTGATGGAGGTATCGGATTTTGGTACTCTATCTGACAGTGACGTCACTTTTAAGCTATCTGAGGCTCTATCAGCCAGTGGTAGGACATGCCCTTATTTTGCTTTCCAAATATTTTTTTTTAATTCATATGTACTTAATTTACTTATTGATATAACTTATTGTAGCTTTAATTTGTGTCAATTTGTAATAATTGGTTCATGTTGATTAAGATTGGCATAGTAGGGTCTTGTAACTAGGACATTCCTTATCAATTCTACTATTTCGGCAAATAAGATTTCAATACATTTTGTGTGGTAGTGCGCGCTTTAACATCTTAGCACTGCAAGGCCAGCACGCCTGGTGTAATACCACGACCACACAAAAGACAGGCGTCAAATGGAAGCAATTCCGTGTTTCATCTGATGAGTGTGATGGCGGAAGCCTTATTTAAGTCCCTTTCTCTTTACCACCCTTTTCTTATAAGGAAAGGATGGGAAGGGGAAGTGAATTTGACGGAGGAGGAGCTGCATAGGAAGACGAAATATCCTCTTTATGTTCGTCTCCTCCTCTGTTGAATAAGGCAACGCATCTGCAATTGCGGATGTCTATGGGCAGCGGCCGCTTCGCCGTTTTAGCGGATTCAGGTGGACGCTTGCTCGTTTGCCACCTTATGATATAAAAAAAATCAACATACCAAGATGTATTTCTTTCCTCTATTTTTAGAATTTCCCTTCTCAATGGAGAATATACCAAGACAGAAGCGTTTCGGATGCTTCTCGCTGAAAATTGGATCAATTTTTTCAGCGCTTGTTATAATAGTAAGTATTCTAAATTAAACAAAGTAAAGGAGTTAATAACTATATATTTTTTTAAGAAACCGCAAGCGATTTTGTTTATTTTTAAGGTCCACGGATTCATATTTGTCCAATTAACAATGCTAGATTTTAGATTCGGCGTGGGATGGGGTACATAGTTAAGGGGGATTTACTCTTTCTGTGCTGTCCTTTATCTCTTAGAAGCATCCGGAAATTCAAATACTGACAGCAGTTCTTGCCCCTTGATAACTTCTGAAATTTGAATTATGTACAAAAGAATTATTATTCCTTTCAGATATATTCCGTGATGGCTTTAGCACAATGTCTGGCGATACTAAACGTACTGCCAGCGAACCAATCGCAAGATGAGTCGGAGGTTATCGCCTCGTATGGTGTCATCATTCTCATCACTGTCATCCATGTCATCACGTTTGTCATCACCTCCCTTATGCTGGTTGGAGTTTTAAGGGTAACGTAAACGTGCCAATAATCTTGAATGTTTCTTATTTTAAATGCAATACATTTAAACCGCCATAAAAATATACAATAGTACAGTATTTTATATTATAACTAGCTTTCGGCCGCTACTCCGTTCGCGTGGAATTAGTAAAAAACCAAAGTAATGATAATACTAAAATGTAAAAAGTAAGTAAATTAAGTTTATGGAGAAGAATTAAGTACATTTTACTAATAAATGCGAAAGTTTAGATGGATGGATGTTTGTTAGAGTTTGTAGCTTAAAATGCTGAGGTCTGGAAGAACACAAAAGTTACTTACTTTTTTATTCCACGCGAACAGAGTCGCGTGTGAAAGCTAGTAATTTAATAAAGTTTTATAGTTAATTAATATAGTAATATTTTTTAAAGAAATATGAATAGTCTGGAATAAAGAAAATAATATTAAAATATGATAATTCCATTCCAGGAGAAAGCAAACTTGATCCGACCCTGGCTGGTGTGGACAACTGTGCAAGTGATGACGTCAGTCCTCATGTTCGTCTTCTGGAGTACGCTGAATGTTATCATGCACTCCGGAGACAGTTCCTTGATACTTTACGTTGTTGAGTTTTTGGGACTCAGTAAGTATTTCTTCATTATTTTAAACAATAGATGGCGTTTTAATATATTTTACATCGTCTATTCGTGTAGTGTTGGAGCAAAACTGTTGCTGGAGTAAAAAATAGTAAAACAAAAGGCAGTTTTGCTCTTTTCCACTCCTTTTTACTTATAGATGTCCATCGACTGTGAGTAGGGAACTATTTTTTGAAAAAAAAAATTCAGAGAAAGGGCTGTCGATACTAGCGCCATCTAGTTCAAGCTTCGAGTTTTTCTTCCAATCTTGTACATTAATTTATGAAATTACCCATTTTAGCATCTTAAGTAAATAGTGATTACTAAAGATGTTTTTTTTTAAACCCTTTATGTTGACTTTATTGTTTCCGTTCCAAAGAGTGTATACACCTAACTAGAGTTGTCTTGATAAAAAAATTGTTACTTAAACATTATATTGTTTGTTCCAATTTATAAGATTTTGAAATTAAAGCTATATATTAATAGACAGCAAATAAATGATTAGTAAAAGGTCATTTATAGCAAAGAGATAAAAGTAAATTAATGTTTATCTAATCAAGAATCACTTCGCGGTAAGTCAAGACAAATAAGATTAATGTTCTAGAATATTCTATGTACAGAATTGTTAAAAAAGCTATATAACGAACATAAAACATTGCAAACATGTTATTAAATCGATTAAATCTTACTAATATTATAAACGCGAAAGTTTAGATGGATGGATGTTTGTTAGATATTGTAGCCTAAACGGCTGAATGGATCTCGACGAAATTTGGTATAGATGTCGAGGACAGTCTGGAAGAATACATAGGCTACTCACTTTGGTTTCTTTTTAATCCCACGAGTTTAGTCCCGCCAAAAGCTAATTTAAGTAATAAATTCTAAATCTCTATGACTTATTTTTTTCAGCACTTCGTTTTTACATGTTGATGTTAGTGGCCAGTTATTACAAGAAGCTAGAAGAAGATAACGACGAGACAGAAAGATTACGGAACATTATCAACCATGAGATGTGGTATAGTTCAGCGTGAAATGAAGATATTAAGGCCGCTGTAGACGGATTATTTCATTTGATAGCAGTATGAAAGTACAATCGCGGGAATCTGCGGTGTTCCACTTTAGAAAAAATTGCTTTGTGCAATGTGACAAACTTCACCTCCTACAAATAATTATATACCAGTGTGTTGCAAACGTACGTATAATAAAAAAGCTAACCGTGTAACTTTTATTCGTAAAGACACGTTTTTAAGCTGGGTTCTATTGATTTTTGTTCCGCGTCTCTTTTTAAAATTTCCGAACGATTGTAGCTTTTAAGTTGGAATACCGCCAGTTTCCCCAATTGTACAGCCGTCTGTTTACAGGCGAGTAAAACTCGTGTGTGTCAATTGCCTGTCTATAAACTGTCCGTGTACAGTAGCCCTTATACTCCTAATGTGATACATTCTATAGTCAATCCATGTTGTATTAGAGTAATTTTGTCCGTCTATGTCTATTTTTATTTTTTTAATCACTTTCCATATAAATCCTAAAAATAAATAAAATAAAGTTATAATTAATTCTTCATTTTATTTGGTATATTTTTATTAATGTTGATAAACACTTAAATAACTAAAATATTTACACTTAATTAATTTCTTAAAATATATATCTTTTTAAATATAAAATAATTTTTATGTCATATCTTAAAAGGTAACTCTATAATTTAAAAAATAAAGAACTGAACGTTCATTTTACATAATTTTTTATATGATTTAACACACAATTTTCACGAAATAACAAAAAAATGTACTGTATTTATTTTGAATTTTGTAATAGTTAATATTAAACGAAGTAAGGGAAGTCATTGGCTCCTTTAATACAGGGATCAACCTTTATGTCAAATGTATTTGTAAAATTACAAGTGAACTGTAATATTGTGTTTTGTATAAATAAATAAATAAATGCGCATTGTTCCTCTGTTTACGTAATCAACGCAACATTCAGTTTTAATTGCAGAGACACTGAACAGAACTTAAGTATGCAGAACTGAATATTTGTAGCTAGGTTTACAGCGCACTCACACCTAAAACTAAACTATTGTACAACTGTTTAGTCTTGTTTTAATTACTTAGAGCGTCCACCGAGGCGATCTAAGAGTTCGGTGGCCTCCTAATCCGGTAATAATAACGAAGTAACGGCTCATGCCGAGGCTCCTGAGGGAGCCCTAGAGCTTAGACTCATAAACGAGGTTTAGGCTAAGCATGCGCTCGGCCACCTCAAGCCCGGTGAATCTGTAAATGCCTCTTTAACGCAAACAGTGGCCATTCAGTCACAAAAAAATAGGTTTACAGCGCGCGTACACCTAAAACTAAAGTATCGTACAACTGTTTAGTTTTGTTTTAATTCCTATGAGGTTATATGGATGTGCGCACACTTGAATTTTAGTTGTGCAAAAAAAGGTTGAATTGGCTGCGAAACAATCGACAATAGCACAACATTAGTAACAGTTTAGTCCCGCTCTTAAGTATTATTTGAAATTAGATTTGAAATTAGAACATGACGTAATAGATATAGTAATAAAAGGCCCTTCTGACTCTTTTTGGACATTAAAAGGAGGACGCTAGTGTGCCGTTATAATTTGACTTACGCCCATCGGGACAAATATTATTGTCTATACAAATTTTGGCTTGCCTAATCTATCCAATTATTTTATTGCTATATTTTTAATGGCATTATGTATGCCATTACTTTATTTTGTATATCTTCTTATTACATTTGTACAAAAATAACTTATTCTAATACTTAATCTATTATTTATGCTGGATCTCTGTCTCTCGTGTACTTCACTGTGCCGTCTCTTTCCATCTTCACGATCGAACTCCAAATCAATATGACCAGGTATATTTGTAACACTGAAATTAGATAAATATAATTTTTGATTAAAGTTACTAAAGGTACATATATGTACAGTCGCGGAAATTCTCAGTGTCCCATTTAGATGTCCTTTCAAATGACAACAAATTTATACTAACATTATAAAGAGAAAAGATTTTTATATGTATTGAAATAACTCAAAAACTACTCATGTATGCAACGATATACTAAGGTTTTTTTAATTCCATGATATAGTCGCGAGGAGGAGATGACGTAATAAGTAGCGTTACTCACTTAATTGGAAGAGTATGAGGAAGAGCTCCCCTGAAGTTTCCCTGGTGAGGAAGGCGACGCTGTACACGAACCCGATGACGGAGAAGACCGTCTCGAAGTAAAGGTATACCTTCATCAGGAGAACATGTTTCTGGAAATAACAAGTTGTACTTATAGACGCAAGATGTAACTGTTTAGTGTTTTATAAAATTTCCCTTTAGATCGGTAATTATTACCTGGTTATCTTAATTAAAAACAAATAGTTATTATGTGCTTATGTCTGATTACGCAGGGGAAGCTTCTAGAACTGGTAGAGAATTGTAAAATCTATACTAATATTATAAAGAAAGATTTGCTTTTTTATATGTCTTGAAATAACTCAAAAACTACGGAGCAGATTCTGAAAATTCTAACACCAATAAATATTATTATAACTGAGTAAGTAACATAGTCTATATTTATTTAAAAAAAAGGGGAATTGTATAGTATCAAATAAATATAAAAACTACTTCGAAGTGACAGACCATTTGCTGGCGATGTCTATTTATGAAAAAGTTAATATTTTTGTAACATAAGTAAAGTCTAAGTCTGTCTTAAATATATTACTTACATCTTTTCCTCAACCAAGTGTGCTTGTAAAATAAAATACTATTTATTTGCTATCAAAGGTTTTCTACTAAATTAGAACAAGCAATAAGAATGTACAAGAGAGGTAACGAATCTGCTCACTCTTCTGGCTAAAAGGCATGAGTAGAGGCATGGTATGTCCTCAACAAGCTGTACTTCGACAAGAGTGGTCGTGCTCACCTCGGCGGGTGTTCTGTCGCGCACCCAGATTCAATATTCTATCTAAAGATAGTTACCATATGCAAGGCGATGATGAATATAACAGACATTCCGATCTCGAGGACCAGTGCGGTGGTATCCGCGATCAGTCGGGGCAGCTCAGTCGCGTCTGTAACGCCGTTGTTCCGTATATACGAGATGTACATCGACAGAAGGCTCGTCACCACCACTGTTAGGATCTGAAATTAAGAACAGTCAATAGTTATTCTTATGATTGCATTTTATACGTCATGGTTCACAGTGGTAGAGCCCGCTTTAACATCTTTGCACTGCAGGACCAGCTCGCCCGGTGCAATACCACGACCACACTGAAGACAGGCGTGAAGTAGAAGCAATTCCGTGTTATGACTGATGAATGTGCTTGCCAGAGGTCTAATTTTAGTCCCTTTTCCTTCCCACCGTTTGTATAAGTAAATGAAGGAGAGGGAAAGTGGATGTAAAGGAAGGGGAAATATCCTCTTTATGTGCGTCTCCATCTATTAAAGATAGGCAACTGTAATTTCGGATGTCTATGGTCTAGCCATAGACATTTTGATAGATTCCAGTAGCCGCTTGTTCGTTTGCCTCATTTTATAAAAAAAAGTGATGAAATAACACTTCATTCGTATCTATTGTGACAGAATGATAATTATACTAACGCTTGCATTACATGATTACTGTGGCAATTGCTCTTTTGTTCTCGTAAATATATAGTTAAGTTGACGATTCGTCGTTGCATTTGCTTTGTTCAGATAATTCTGTATGAGGAAATAAACCGAGCAAAGTTGACAACAGACCTTTTTGTACGATGTAATTGTATCTACTTGGTGATACACGTTTTCGGTATTGACAGAATTAGACACTGTTTAGTTAAACACGTGTTTAACACTGACCGTCGCTGATTGCTATTATAGACGTTGTAGTTAGATTCACTATAAATATGTACACTGTTTAGTGTAACATATAAGTGGGTATTTCATTATTTTTTGTTCTAGATTTTTAAGTAGGTTTACGTATGATAATGTTCCAATAGATTTGTTTTTTAAATTTGCGCTAGGCGCTGGTCACGGTAAAAAAAGGGATGACGTGTGTTGCCCTTTAACTTTGTTTCTCTATAATTAAAGTAGAATAAAAAAAAACACATAATTTAATATAAAATTACTCAACGTATTTAACAAAACTGACAAAAACTATGTTGTCTATTACTACTACTATTTTTTGTTATGTAAAAAACGTTAAATGTTCAAAAATACTTACAAGGTTCGCATAAGCGAAGACCACGAGGCCCTTTCTCAGCGGAAAACAAAAGCAGCATCTCGTCAGTATTGGTATCTCTATGGAGTTGCAGATTTTCTCCCTGGAAAATAAAAAATAATTATGGTTACCACGAGTAAAATGAACACAAGAATGGGCAATGTTTTCTTATAACTGCGGCATAGTTCACAATTGCGTTAAATTATTATCAACAACTTTTTGAAAATTCATCCTTTACACGGACTAAGTCATAGGCTTAAGCTAGTATGGAATTAAAAAGGATGTAAATAACATTTAAATATGTGAGCGTCGCTAGCTCTTGTGATCTACAGGATATAGACTAGACATAGTGAGCAAAATATTTCACCAGTAGCTTCTTTTTAAGGTACTATGTTAGTTGTCAAGTTTACGACGCCACCTTATCGTGGTCTTTACAAAAATATATTTTTTCACACTACCGCATCACTTCGGTCAGCCCGTAGACATGGCGCGTCCAACTATGCCGAAATATCGGGAACTAAAACAACCCAATCGCAGTAAGAAATCCGTATCTTATGAACATTAAGCTAAACAGTGTTACATAACAAAATATAAGCATTTCAACAAAAATTACTTATTGACAATTCATTTATATACAATTATTTATAATGCGTTAGTGAGAATCATTTGAAAAATATCTCAAGTGAAGGGTCAAATATACTTCCTCTATAAATTTTATCGAATCTCTTCGGATATTATACCAATGTTGTTTTCAATTTTAGACTACATATCTATCTTATAGTTTTATGTATTAGAATGTTAAATTATTATTAAAATATAGTCCAACAGCAAGCTTATCAGTCAATTGTCAGTAGTGATGTACACAATCGGAGGATGTCGCTTTCCTGCGATAGTGTAGTGTCAATGAATTCGTATATCACATTAGAACTCTATCACAGGGTGTGACTGTGAATCAGGTTTATTTCACACTAGCTTTCAGCCGCAACTTCGTTCGCGTGGAAAAAAAACAAAAGTAACCTATGTGTTCTTCCAGAATATCCTCTACATCTATAGCAAATTTCATCGAAATCCGTTTAGCCGTTTACTCTACAAACTGTAACAAGCATCCATCTATCCATCTAAACTTTCACATGTATGATATTAGTATGACTGGACTGATTGTAACCATAAATCACTCCTAATGGGAAAAGTCCTAGTACGAAACATCCTTTGTAACATGTTGTATTCGACTACTATATTTTAGTCTCTATTTCATTAAAGAGATAGACGGAGATAGCAATAGGTTAGAAATAACAGAAGTGGAAAATCGTTGGTAAACATTACAGATGTTCAATTTGCATTACAAGTAATTTAACCAAGATATATTGTAACAACTGCTTATCTTTGTTTCGAAACATCTTCAACTATACAATTACTAAATAACCAGTTACTGTCATGTATGGTAGATAAGTAAGCGTCAAGCGGCTAAGTATTAATTATTAAAAACGAATTAAAAATCGGTAAACGTTATTTAATTTTTTATCTGTAATCCTGAATAGAAAAGATAGAAGAGATTAAGAGCTGTGCTACTTGATATTAACTATCGCACAACTGTCGTGCGATTGTCGATTGTTTCGCAGCCAATTCAACTGTTTAGTTGCACAACTAAAAATCGAGTAGTGTGCGCACCTCCATATAAGCTTATAGGAATCAAAATGTGACTAAACAGTTGTGCGATAGTTTAGTCAAAGGTGCGCACGCTCTATAGATAAAGATTTAACAGTGGAAGGGATGTATAGGACGGATAAATGTCCTCTTTATGTTCGTTCTATTGTCTATCTATTAGGGATAGGCAACCTTTGCAATTACAGAATTCCTTGGGCAGCGTTCGCTTCGTTATTTGGTGGAATTCATATGGCCTCTTTCTTGTTTCCCACCTCATTGTACAATTAGGCTACGTAAGCAAAGAAAGCAAAAATGACCCTAAATGTCGTCGCGCGATTTTGAGCTAAAATATTTAACTACGTCGTAGTCTTTGACTCCAAAAATCAAACAAAAAATGGGACCTACCTGCAAGAGTGTTACGTGTAAATATTCTTTGATAATTAGCTTTTTAATTTGTGACATGTTATATAATTTTGATACTCTTTGGATATAAAAACTGTAAGCGGTTACCATGGGAACGTTGGTTGTTAAGTCAGGGAAATGAATAAAAATATAACTAACCTGGAATAAATCGTTTTAATTCGCAACAATACCTTTTGGATAAAAAAAGAATTATCAAAATCGGTCCATTAGCGGCAGAGTTATGCCGTAACACACATAAAAAAAAACATACAGACGAATTGAGTACCTCCTTCTTTTGGGAAGTCGGTCAAAAAGAGTTAAATACAGTATCACAGCTGATAGAGATGTGTGGAAGACTGCTCCTTCTTAGGAATGTAAATGCATGGTATTTTTAAACTAGTAACTCTTTTGTGACTTGCACCAACAGAGTATGAGACAAACATATCTAAGGGTGAGCGAACTGCGAATTGTGCCATAACATCGTAATTACGAGCGTATGTTTCTGCGAATTTCCACACATTAAACAATTGAATAAAGATATTGCTATCTCAGTTTTTGCTGAGAGAATGAAAGGGAACAATGATTTTGTCCGATTGGGCGTTTTCATTTGTTTTCAATTTTATTGAAATCGCTTGGTAATTTTGAGTAGGGTTTCCTTCGAATCGTGTTTTCCCCTTTAGTGTCATGGATGAGTTAGTTCTTTTGCCATTTGAACGAACATTTTGGTAATGCACACTTACGGATAATAATTGTTTTAACCTTAAAAAAGTTTGCCATTGGTCTCGCCAGTCGATGATCTAGGGTGGGGGGTGAGTCGATGCTCAATTGGGGATTGTAGGTTGATGGTCAT